GAGGTGCATAACACCAGGTCCACAGCTAGGCACACATCCCACAAAACTGCACATCATTCCCGGCTGGTAAAGAAATTGTGTGTGTGCTGTTGGTTAAGACAGATGGACATTGAGGTTTTCCTGTGGAGAGCATGCTGCTTTTCATGGGGTTAACAAAACATGAGCAAGAACAAGGGAAAAAGAGCAATGAAAAAAAAGGTACACACACCACACAATAAAACAAGCCACATCAACCTCAACAAGCCAAAGGCCACTCAAACAGGGTGGGAGGAAACAGCAGTGCAGTGCACTCCCAAAATGCAAAGAGAAGTTCACATGGGCTTGTGGATGGAATGAGATTACTTTTCTCATCTATAGGACAGAATCTACACCAGGGATACTCAACGTCCAGCCCACAGGCAAAATCCAGCCTGCCACGAGGTTACTCAGGCAATCAGAACACTCATGTTATAATGAACGAAGATGGTGACACTTCAGGCAAATACACTGATTATACAGCAATGTAGTATTGACATGCCACAGCCCTCGATTCAGACAGGGTCTAAAACTTACACAATATATTTAAATTACATTTAGTTGGCAATCAGATAAATTTACCAAAGGTTTTGCATCTCATCAAGCCACATTTCTTTTTTAATAACCATGAATTATAGCATCCGGATATTGTATCACTACCTGGTCCATCATGACACTGGCATAAACATACCAACATTTCTAAGATGACCTGTGGTTTTTTTGTCACTGTACAACTTAAAACCAAATTTAAATTGTGTCATGCCATTTTATTTACTGACTCTCAATTACCCTGCTTTTTTGTCTCTTAAAAAAATAAAAATAAAAAAATAAAATAAATTAAAAGTAGCCTGTTACATGGCAAATTATTATGTTTTCCTAATTTGAATTTTTTAAATGATGGATTAACTACTTGTTTTTAGGGAAACTATTAAAAGTTATATATATATATATATATATATATATATATATATATATATAAAACAGAAAACCATAGATCTATTTTATATCTAAAACGTAGTCTTCAGTAAAACTAACAAAAACCTTGCTACAAAATTTGCATATCCCTGATCTATGCCCTTACTGGATAAGACCAAACACAAGGAGTCCAGACTGACTCCTAGGGAGTGCTTAATAAAGTGGGGCACTTGGTATGGACAGAAGTCATGCCGGCTGTGATGCCAGCCTGCTGTGTGGGAATCGGCCTGCAGGGTGCATGTCTGGAAGAGCTTTAATCCATGCAGTCAGAGGAAAGAGGCTTAAAAGATCGCATTCGGTTCTGCCCCCAACGCAACACACGCTGATCCTGCTCTCCTTGTTCCCATCCTCTGCCATCCCATTCATTTAATTTTTTTTACGATCGGCTACAATACAGTGCAAGTATAATTCATGCTTTGGGGTCCTGAATTATGTTGGCATGCACAACGGGATGAGCTCAGGGAAGATGGGTCATGATCCACTTCAGGTACATATGGAGGTGTGAGATAGGTTAAATGGAGGATGGGATGCCACACAGACGTAGTGGTGAATACCTTAGTTCCTTGCCAGCAGGCCCATATGACAGACACGGCCTGTTTACTGCGAGCTTCATGTTTTAAGTGCCGCAGTTCTCTCCGAGCCTGTTCAGTGTGGCATTTTTTTTTTTAAGAAAACGAAGAAGAAGAGGGTGGAAAGGTATTAAGAACCGACGTTAAAGACACGAGAGTTGTACAGCAGTACATTTTCAGAGACACGGAAACATGGCAAAAGTACTTTTCTTGTTTAAATAACTTGTGATTATTGCTTATCGGCCCTATTAATGTAACATTCAAATGACTACATCGACCTTTGGCAGGTCTTGTCCTGTAAACATTTTTTTATCAGCATATTGGCCACGTCTTTTATTGTTGCAAGTGAGAGACACTGAGAATAACCACATAGTCAGCCAAGACAGACAATCAATCACTTTTTACATACATCAGTCACATGATTGGACATTTTATGGTGCAATACCGTTCAATTTCAAAACTCTTAAATGCTGGATTTTGATTAAATCAAATCAGCTCTGACTGAAACTGAGGTTGTAAAATGCTAATATAAAGTCTTCAAAGCTTATGAAGGTAAAAAAAAAAGCAGACCAAAGACAGTATAGTCTTGAAATTTTAAAACACGAAAGCAGAAACACATCACATTTCCAAAACACACACAAATAAAGAAGTTATGAAGCATTTTAATATTGTTAAGGGTTATAAAGTAGAAGTTGAAAAAGGGTTAGTTTTAAGAATGTGATATTCATACATGCATTCAATTGCATACACATTTTCATTTTTAGGTACAGGAGTTTCACCATCTGCCACCACCATGTCAGCAAAAGAACAATATGTTAGTATTTAATGATTATTTCTCAAAAGATGCTACCTACAAGATGACAAAACAGTTAGTCACACACAAACAAAAGGGATGTCATTCACAGCTTGGGTGAGGCGGGATGGGAGATGACTACGTTTGGCAGACTCATTAAATACCTTAGTTCCAAGCCAAGCTGCCCAAATGACAGACACGGCATGTTTATTCCGTGCCTCCTCCTTAAGACGCCGCAGTTCCCAGCGAGCCTGCGGATGTTAGCCAAGGAGGGCCACGTGGAAGCAGAGACAGGACGGCAAAGGTTAAAGTCCGAAATATGACAAGAAGAGAGTGACTGAAAAGAGTAAGTTGCATCAAAAGCAGAAGTGAAATTAGGACTAGAGAAAAATCAAAGCAAAAGCAGTGAAGAAGCTCCAGTGTTGAACATCTAAACCCCCACAATTCACCATTTCACCTCCTTATTCAAGGAAAAACTGTGTTCAGTACCTGAGTTCCATGCCAGTATGCTGAGATGGTTGTGACGGCCTCTTCGCACCGCTTCTTGTGTTTCAGCTCACGCAGAAGCTTCCGGGCCTGTGAAAAGGACTTACACAGTGAGAAAAGACCCTTTGTTTGCTAAAGGAAATGACATGCAGTGCACCTGAAGCCTACCTTCCATCCTCGGATGAATGACTGAAAAACTAAGGCAGAGGACCTGATGTTCTGGTACTTCTTTTGTTGCTACAATCAAAAACAACCAGCAATCTTGAGTTAAAAAAAGTTCCACTTCTGATCCCAGAAACAATGAATCATATTAAAAACAATTCATGTTTTTTATGGCCGGTGTAGTGAATGGTGCTCACCGCAAATCTTCGGTACCAGGCGGCCACCACCACCTGGCTCTTCTTTAACAGGAGAAAGTGAGTGCGGCACTTCCAGCCACGGAAGATCTTCTGGATGAGCGTTGCCAAATCCTCTAGGCACCGACTCCTCTTCTCTTCCAAGAAGAAGAGCTGAAGAACAAAAGTGGTTTGGAGAAATCAATATCAAACACAAAATCAGACTTTTACAAACTGACATAAACCACACCCATATCCACATCCGGTTTCAAACACAACATATGCATTAATGTGTAAAACCTCCTTCACTGCTGATGCATCTCAGCATCGCACTGAGATGTCATCATGGACATGAGCCAAGGCATTAAAAAAAGTTTTCTGTCTTCTCTTTCCATACTCTCAGCTGCTGGCATCGTGCTGATGGTTACGTCATTACTATAGCAAATAATGTAGATAAACACTGTCTGAATGAACGGATCAGATTTCTTTCAAAGTGATAGCGCAGACAGTCAGTCTCAGATTTGAACAAGATCGGATTTGAAAAACAAATCGGATTTGTGCGCAATGTGGGCAAGCCTAAGATACATGATCAAAATTCCCAAGGATAAGAGCCGTGAGAGCCACAGATTTGATGGAGAGAACGTTTGTGAAACCACATGATGTCTTTTTTATTCGCTGCAGGATCCTGATGGTGATGATCGCAAAGACCAGCAAAAAAAAAATCCAGCCATAGTGGGACCAGCATCCTTTGGTATTAAGTAGCTGTTGACAGTGTCTGCCAAATTGTTCTGAACAGCGAAACAAGGCCAAGCTCAAAGTACAGAGCTATGGTTTACTCACCTTCCAGAAAGGTTGGTTCTGGGCAAGAAAAATAGTCTCTTACCCTTTTAAAGCATCTGTGTTTCTTGAACCAGGAACTAGTAATGTCTGAGGCCAACAGCAACAACTCAAAACATATAACTAAACTAGTATTAACTAAATTGTAATCAAATTTAGGTCTAAATAGGTTCAACAAATCATTAAAATAACTTCTCACAACCTGGAGTAAAGGTGTGGTCACATCACTGAAAGTGTAGTGACAATAGTGTAGTGACGTATGAAGCACAGCTGACACAGAAGCCACTTTCAAAACAAACAGCTTTCTGTTGGTCAACACTCTGAATTTGAGTGACCAGATTGAACACGAGCAAAATCTGAGTGGGGAACTTTTAAGTGATGTGACATGTGACATGTGGCCAAGTATGGTGACCCATACTCGGAAATAGTGCTCTGCATTTATCCCATCCAAAGTGCACACACACAGCAGTGAACACACACACACACCGTGAACACACACCCGGAGCAGTGGGCAGCCATTTATGCTGTGGCGGCCAGGGAGCAGTAGGGGGTTCGGTGCCTTGCTCAAGCATAACTTTTTAGCGTCACATGGAACTCCCGAATTATGTGTATTCCTAATGAAATTTCACAGAGCAACCATAAATGTGACCGTACCTTTAGACTCCTGTCATCATCCTGTTTGTCTGTCATCATTGTTCAGCTCTCACATCAGTGGAAATACAGGGGAGTGAATTTGTAGATCTCTTGTCCAAGCAACAACTCTGGCACCAACAACGTTTCAGTGGCAAAGAGGTGAATGATGACTAGACTACATTAGGGCTGGGCAGGGGTCAAACATGATCTCAAACTCTACTGGCTTTGAACAAACATCTGGAGATAGGAAATTATGCAGGAGGTATGGACAAGGATAAGATAAATTCTCCACAGTGCTAGATCGGTGACTGATGCCCATGGCTTCAGTAGAGGGGTTTCATGGGCTCCTCTGGAATTTCTCAGCTGGAGTCTCGTTTCCCATGCAAACTGACAAACAGTGGATGGGGGGATAAGTGAAACCATGTGTGTGACTGCCTGTTTGCGTTTCTTTCTTTCATGAGGACGATTGCTGCTAATTATACAAGAGAAGCCTGAAGGAACATTACTTCCTACTTGAAAAGCCTGCTACAAAACCCTTAAAGACTATACGTAATACATGCATTGGCCTTTTGATTCCTCATGTCAAACTTACAAATCCAATCCATCCACCATGCTGGAACTGGAAAGGAGCCAATTGATATATTTGCCAGGCTAGTGTTAAATGGTTCTCATAAGGAGAGAGCTGACTTCTGTATAACTGAATCAAGATCACACTCAATGATCTTTAGAGCAGTAACTCACTCACCGTTCTTGGGTTCCTGATGAAGATCTTTGAACGTCCATAGGCAAACTCCTCAGCAGGAACCTGCAGATCTGTCAGGAGAACCTCAACACCCTCCCTGATAATAAACAGGCCATTAGTCATCAGTCAACCATGCCATTTACAAAAAGTTGATTTGGTAGGTCCAAAACGCTGAGACCACTGGTGAAAATGCCTCTAAACAATAACAATTTGAGTAAAAATTCACCTGGTCTTTTTTTTTTTAAGAATTCTTTTAAAAAGAGAAATACTTGAGCTGACAAGGGCTCAAAAGGTTTAAATTTTTAAATATACTTTTGAAAGATGCTTTTATGCAAAGCAACTTTAAGTTATATATTTTGCTAATATGCTCATTCTCTGGGAATTGAACTCACAACCTTGGCAATGTTAGTGCCACACTCTACCAGCTCTACACATGATCAAGATTGCAAATAGTGTGTTTATTTTATATTTATTTTTTCTCCAGTTTAAAAAAAAAAGTTATTTTCAATGTAGTCTCAGACTTTGGTCTGAATACACCCACATCACTGGCACATTACTGAACAGGCAGCAACAAAATAATCAGAGAGGAGACAATAATAAGGTGCATAGTATGATTTAGCACAGAAACATGCACCATGTGAGTGATAACAAACAGTGTCTGAGTGATCTGAAAGAAAAGTAAAACATAGTCTAACCACTGTCAGCATAGAGACGATGATAACATTCCAATGAAAGATAACATAAGACGCGCAACTCAAAATCTCCATGAACACTAAAGATTCTCCTATCAAACTATTTAGTGAATTGACTCCATGTGCAGAAGTGACATAGTTATGAGGGCCAATTCTGTCTTGGCATGTTTGCCATCAGATAGAAGTAAATTTGAAAAAGGTCTGCTTTTCTGTAGCCAAGTGGTGTTAAAGTAACCGTTAAACCTGCAAGGCACGAAGGAAGTTTTAAGACAAGAAACAGCATGTTTACATATCTATGAAGGAGTATAAAAAAGGTCATGCAGGTGGAGGTACGAATTACTTAATCTCAAATGTGATGACAGTATAATGACATAAGCTGAACAATATGTTCAGAAAAACAGCGAAGCCTGCAGAAGAGTTCTTTAAAACAATACATAACCACAAGATCATTGGTGGACTAACCTGGCTGGGCCCTTCCAGTGGGGCCAGGTCTGCTTGCAGAGCATCTTGTAGCGTTCCAGACAGGGATCGTAGGCCTGGCGGAAAGCATAACCAGCCCTTCGTACACGCACATTCTCCATCAGACCCAGGTAGCGCACCTGGTGACACACTAGTGAGTCTGTAAAAATGTGGGCTGCTTTCTTGTCATTGGGCTTGATGCACCTGAAGAACAAAGACATCAGTCAATATTCTCATACTGAATAGAAATGTAAAAATCATTGGGCGAATCTAGAAACTTGTCAAGAACATGTCCAGATCATTTCTCAGTGTTCATTTTATTTTTTATAAAATACTTCATATTCTAGTAAGGGATCCGCACTCGCTTAATCTTCTTAATCACTTTCAATTTATTTTAATTTTGCAACAGAGCATTTTTTTCAGGATTTTTAAAATAAAATTCATGTTCACGGCTCTACACATGATCAAGATTGCAAATAGTGTGTTTATTTTATATTTATTTTTTCTCCAGTTTAAAAAAAAAAGTTATTTTCAATGTAGTCTCAGACTTTGGTCTGAATACACCCACATCACAGGCACATTACTGAACAGGCAGCAACAAAATAATCAGAGAGGAGACAATAATAAGGTGCATAGTATGATTTAGCACAGAAACATGCACCATGTGAGTGATAACAAACAGTGTCTGAGTGATCTGAAAGAAAAGTAAAACATAGTCTAACCACTGTCAGCATAGAGACGATGATAACATTCCAATGAAAGATAACATAAGACGCGCAACTCAAAATCTCCATGAACACTAAAGATTCTCCTATCAAACTATTTAGTGAATTGACTCCATGTGCAGAAGTGACATAGTTATGAGGGCCAATTCTGTCTTGGCATGTTTGCCATCAGATAGAAGTAAATTTGAAAAAGGTCTGCTTTTCTGTAGCCAAGTGGTGTTAAAGTAACCGTTAAACCTGCAAGGCACAAAGGAAGTTTTAAGACAAGAAACAGCATGTTTACATATCTATGAAGGAGTATAAAAAAGGTCATGCAGGTGGAGGTACGAAGTACTTAATCTCAAATGTGATGACAGTATAATGACATAAGCTGAACAATATGTTCAGAAAAACAGCGAAGCCTGCAGAAGACAATACATTCAATTCTTTAAAACAATACATAACCACAAGATCATTGGTGGACTAACCTGGCTGGGCCCTTCCAGTGGGGCCAGGTCTGCTTGCAGAGCATCTTGTAGCGTTCCAGACAGGGATCGTAGGCCTGGCGGAAAGCATAACCAGCCCTTCGTACACGCACATTCTCCATCAGACCCAGGTAGCGCACCTGGTGACACACTAGTGAGTCTGTAAAAATGTGGGCTGCTTTCTTGTCATTGGGCTTGATGCACCTGAAGAACAAAGACATCAGTCAATATTCTCATACTGAATAGAAATGTAAAAATCATTGGGCGAATCTAGAAACTTGTCAAGAACATGTCCAGATCATTTCTCAGTGTTCATTTTATTTTTTATAAAATACTTCATATTCTAGTAAGGGATCCGCACTCGCTTAATCTTCTTAATCACTTTCAATTTATTTTAATTTTGCAACAGAGCATTTTTTTCAGGATTTTTAAGCTCAGTAAGTGCACAGGACGGATATTAGCAGATCGACTACAGATGGCGAGAAATGGCAGATAAAAACATTTAAAAAGAGGAAAAATTCGGAGGAACAAAACATTAAAAAGAAGGGTTATGATTAGGCAAGAGGTGGAGAGAACTCGAAGAGCAGGAAGGCCTGGAATTAGATGCGGAGGTTGCTTTGTTTCTTCTAGATAGGCGAGTTATGTTGATTTTGCTTTGTTTCACACAACTAATCTGTGTTGGCTTTTGCTTGAATATGCTGCGGCTGGCAGGCATAGCAGATTCCGCCATCGTCGCTGCCAGGGTTGTGTACATACGTGTGGGGCGGAGTTATCAAAATAAGGGCGAGGTCCTATTGGGGTATGGGCGTGTTTGTTTTAGTGCTTTCAAATATCAATATCGTTTGGCAAAATTAGCTTAGTGCACCTTTAATTTCCTCAATGTATTAAATTACTAAAACTTTAACAAACTAAAATTATAACAATACATACTAATTATAACTATATACTAATATTTTTTATTTTTAAATTTGGCAATGTAAAAATATATTGATTATTTCTAAATAAACTAGACATGTTTTAATGATTTATTTTAAGCTTGCTGTTTAATAAAAATGAAAATCTATATAAAATGTTACCTGATATAGTTGGGGTTCTTGGTCAACAAGTTCTTCATGAGCGTTCCCACTGAGGCTCTGAACTGGAATCCAGCTGTGGGGGGCCGCTTGAGGTTCACTTTAGCTGGGTTTCCCTCAGGAAAGAGAATCTTTATCAGGCTGTGATTGGCTTTGTACATGGCCTGGGATAAATCTCTGTAGAGGAGGTCATTGTTTTTATCCACAAATCCCTCCGCCCGATACAGCACCTGTGTATACAGAATATTACGTTCAATAACTCTTCTTTACACTCTACTTTACAATGTGCTTGTTTCTGAAAACACACAATGTGTATTGGAAAACATTTACAAATGTACATATCTCAGATTAGTGTATACTGGATCCCTCTGGTTTCTCCCATCATCATTATTATTTGTAATTTTGAAGAACTATAACTCAGTTTATGGGCAAAGACCACTTACCAAATTTTGCATGTATAAAAGGCATGTGCCCAATTACATTGTTGCCAATTTTGCAATGGATAAGATCTTTTGTAGATCTTTTGTAGAGTAATGTAAATGTAAAAACATCAATGCAACTCCACAGACTGTTGCATGTGGGCTATCCTTTAATGAACTGAGATCTTCTCCACAATTTAGCAGAAGACTATAAAAGGTTTTAGACATCCTTGTTCACGATTCACAACATGAATCATAAATGTATCAACCATTCGTTAACACGTCATTCATTCTTAAATGTAATTCATATACAACACTGTATCTAAAAGTATTGTGAGCATGTGATGCACGGTTTACAAAGCATCGTATGTAAAGCTAAAAACTAAAAATGAGCGAGAGCTTAAGGGATGTTGAAATGGGGAAACTCTATGGACTCACCTTGCCAGCATAGTGCTGGATGCGGAAACAGTTGTGTGGTAGGCTGTGGTCCGTGAGGAACTTAGAGTTTTTGCTCTGTCTGCTCTCAAAGTGCTGGTGTTCAGCACACACAGTGTTCAACTTGTCCAAGAAAGTCTCATCTGTTACTGTGCCTGGCCTCAAACACTCCTCATCCAACATGGCCAAAATTCCATTCTTGTTCTGAAAACAAGAATTATGGTTATCAGATCAAACACTGAAAAAACAAAATATTAAAAACCTTGTGAAACTGTAGATTTGTAGGTTTTAAACCATGTCTGTAAGCCTTGAGTTCATCTGTATGCTGTATATATTAACGCAGTTTCTGCAAGTATGTTTCATAGAGTCTATAATAAAGAGAAAATTAGGATTCTAGAAAAAAAAAAAGAACAACTGTCTCTTGTCTGCAATACTTGTAAAACTACAGTCATATGCAGACTTACATTCTCGATGAGGTCACATATGATGGCGTTGTTGAAATACTCAATGTTGGTCCACTCAATATCCTGTAGACAAAGATAGAGGCAAATCACAGATTTGTTTTCTTTCCATCAGTTTTCTCTTTCTAAAGAGGGATATTCCTAGAACACAGTCTTAAAAATAATCCTGTAGCGTCAACAGACAAATCTGAGTGGTTTAGGAAAGATGCTGACAAGCTTTACTATACTTGAACAGGTAAACAGCAGATATCCAATACCGCATAGGAGTCACGATTATTAGTCGCTGCCACACACAACAATGATTTCTATAATTGTATACAGTTCAGTTATGCAGTTCAACCAATGAATACACTGCAGATGGCTGGATATCCATGTTGCTCCATGTCATGACCGTTTCTGCGATATTTAGGGTCTGGAGTGCAGACCCATTTATGGCCCATTAGAGAAAGATGGAACCCACTGGATTTAAACAACAAATCAAAGCCAATCAAGGTAATGGGTGTAACAAGCTGGAAAATAGCTGTGAGCTAATTGGACTGTGTGAAAGCTCCTCAAACTAGGAGGTAGATGTATGCGGGAGGAGGGTTCAAAAATGGGGAATTTGGAATGTGGATTGGGGCAGCATGGTCCCTAGACCCCTGCGTCCCTCCTCAGTCTTCAGAGCAGCGGTATTTTCCCATGCACTCAACTGGAGTGAAGCCAGAGAGTGGAATATCACAGTGCAGGGGTCACGGCAGCGTCAGGGCACATACTTAGAGCTCTGAAAGCAAACAGAGCTCCAAGCTCTTCAGGGAGAATTGTGTTTACCCTGACTGGAGTGAGGGATCGTTTCCGTCCCCACAATCACAGCACGAAAGGAGAAGGATTGATAGAAGGAAACAAACAGTAGACGGAGGCTTTTGGAAGAGAACACAAGCTTGCTATATACTGAATACTGCACTCTGTATAACGCCAAGGCTGAAATGCTAAAAATGTGGTTGAAAGATGTAAAATAATTCATAAATGTATTTTTTTCTCTCTAAATTCCATGTATAGCTAAATATTTCTTCATTATGTCTAAATGAATTTGTTCTACATCAGTAAACATGATGTTACGTTATCTGTCTGAAAGCACTTTCCTTGCAAGGTAACTTCATTCAAAAACTGTTAGAGGCACTGAAGTTGAGAGAAGACTATTTCTGATCGGCCGTCATCTACGGGGTGTTGCTTACCTCACGGACATACTCCTCCTGCTCCTCGCGGAGAGTAAGCTCGATGAAGATTTGCTGGAGCTTCTCATTGCAGTAGTTGATGATGAACTGTTCAAAACTGTTCTCCTGCAAGAACAGAAGGATGGATGAGAACCCACTGACCAAATGACTACTGTGATAATTACAATGTACACTGCAAACTAAAACACAACACACTGCAAACCAGCACACTGATACGGTAACAGTCACTCAACGTTATTTACTAAGCACCTTCCTCTAGGTACCTATATAAGCTGGATACACGCTAGAAATTTTGGTGACTTCCTTTGGTGACTTTGGGGAGGAATGTCACAATAAGTCTACTTCAGGAAATCTTTAAATGTTTGTTGATTTCCCCAATATGATACCATCTATAACTAAGCTGTCCCACTGAAGTTGCACAACTACAATGCTCTTATTTCAGCAAGCTTCATACTGGTTTGCTGCCGATTCGTGATGGGGAAATCTGAGAAAATTCAAATGCAGTTGTTTAATATGTCACCCCTCTTACATTCTTAATTTAGGTTTGATGGAACTCAGACAGATGAATGTTTGTTTCCTGTGAAAACGTTTGGTGTGACACCCACAACCAAAACAAAATGATTTAAAATAGTTTTGTGGGGCGCCGCCTTAAAGAAGTCATAGCAAAGAATTTCATCAAAGCATAGGCCTTTATAGCTAAGATTACATGAAGGCATAACATGGTACAATATACAAAAAGGCTGCGTAATCGTATCTGTATCTTTTAATGGAGGTGAACTCTTTAACCTCTGCACTCACAGTAAATGTTTTCTGGGTTAAAAATGCAGGGTTAAAAAAATCTAACCATTTATCTAACCATTTCCCTTTCTCATGCTAAACCCCAATCGGTGAACTGACTCCATCATTGAATTAAAGCAACAGTAATTCTCAATGTTATGCTCATTGGCTTATGATAAACAGTTAGGATTGTACTATTTAGCCATGACGCTGGGGTTCAGGAATTATTCAATCCTCTTCTTTTTTTTTTTTAATCTTCAGAGCAATCCTACTGCATGTTAGTCTCTCCAACTAAAGCCACTGCAATCATCAGTTCCAATGGGCTTGGCTTGAGAAAAAGCCCAAAATCACTTCCAAGAGGCAGCATATGGCACACTGAAAAGCACCAGCTCATTGTTTTACTTGACACTGGCAGTTTTATCCTGGCAGCCTTTGCTGAGAGGCCACACTGGCATGTCAGCCTGGAGCTGCAGTGTTCTGGGAGTAATGAGAGGTAAACCTGTTCAAAGAATAACCTCAACAACTCTTACATTTTCTGAAGACCCAAAAGCTCAGAAACACTGCAGCTCTCTGGCTGGCTTCAGTGAAGCTCAAAGAAATGCTTCACCCAAAAATTAAAACGGAGTCATTATAAATCACCCTCAAGCTCCAAAAAAACACCATAAAAGAACCATACAAATAGTCTGTATTACTCATGCACTATGTCCAAAGTCTTCTGAAGCCATATGATATGGGTTTGGAACAACTTGAGGGTGATAAATAATGACATAATTGTCCTTTCTGGGTGAAATGTTCCTTTAAGGTATTCTGAGTTCAGGATGAATGGAGCTAATGCTGTAACATCAAGCATACAGTACTAATACTACTAGGAAACACTGTGCTTCAGGGTTTTGCTCTAGCAGTGGCTTATGCTGCAGAGATAGAAGAGCAGAATTAAGACTATAGGATTAAGTGCTAAAATCGCAGCATGCACACTGTCATGGTATTTCCTCTGCAGGTCTACTTACTCTATCCTGTCGCCATGTCCACAACAACATAAACAACATTCAGGAGAGAGTGAAACAGTCAGACAGCAGAAGACATGCAATGGACAAATGTAAACCAAAATGGCTGAAAGGTGAATTACTATACTTTTTATACTGGTTTTTGGGGGGACATTCTGCAGAATGGATTTAAACATGGCAAAGTATGCTGCTATGAGTTTTAAAGAGATTTAATTAGCCAAAATTGATAATAAACAAAAAATACGGATTTCAGATTCAATGTGGGCCTGAGAAGTAGTTCTCTGTATTACAGTAAACACTTGTGGGATTTGGTACGTCAACAACAAAAAAGTCATTACAGTCATATAACTAACTTTAAAAAAAATAATAATGCATGCAAGTGCAATTCTCTATTTAAATTTACATTGGTGCATAGTAAGTCTGTCAGTACAGAAATGCAGGGTACTTTTCACCAACACACAAAAATTGAGTTTAGTTTATGGGTGTGTTCAGTTTGGAAGCCTGCCTTTGCACGCACTGTGATGCATTAGACACTGATGGACAGGTGGTGATGACATGCATTTTATAAGAGGCATCCTTTTCAATACACACCAAATCACTCACCTCAAAGATTTCAAAACCGTAAATATCCAGGACTCCCATAACTTTCTTGCGTGTTTTGGTTTGAGCCTGATCAAAAAGAGAAGAAAGTTAAAGGCAGAAACCAACTCGCTTTAAACACAAACACATGAAATAGTTCTAGCATCGGTACAAGCGTGTCTTGTGTAGTTTCAGAGCATAATTTGAGCATTAGGGTGCCGTCACATTTACTGATGTTTGGCAAATTTTCACATGCAAAACCCAGTCTTATCAATAGAAATTCACAAAATCTGGTATTTTGTGTTAGAGTGAAAGATTTCATCCTACATATTTTGCATTGGGTTCAAGTTTGGTCTTGCAAATTTGATGTGTTGACCAGCAGAAAGCTGCTTGGTTTGAACCCTATTGCTACACTATTGACAATAGACTATTGCTCACATCATTTTGCACCAAATTTTGTTAATGTGACAGCACCTTTACAGCAAACAACAAAGATTAAATGAAAATCCAGAGATACATACCTTGATGCTTTCATTGATTCGGTTCACCAGCCAGCTGAACAGTCGGCTGTAAAGGTTTTTGGCAAGAGCATCACGAGCATAATAGGCCTGAAATAGGTGTGGCAAATTACAATCAATGTCCAGAACATCTGAATTACACATTATCTATACAAGCATAAAGATATTGATTAATCTCTAGCTCCAATTCACTCAATGTCTCATGGCTGTAAAAACTAAATTACACCACTTGAAGAGAACACATCATGTGGCCCGGATCCAAATGCACTGAGGCCTGTCATCTATCAAGAGTTAGTGGCTAAATTCTTAACAATATGATGCTATGCCAAGAACACATCACAAGTTGCTAACTGGACCCCTCACTTGAATGTTATTAATGCAATAATCAAGGCTTCGGGTTCACACACATCCCAGCAGCCTTTAGTGAGGTTTTGCCTGTAATATCTTTCTAACTCTAATCATGATGTTGGCTTGGCAACATACTGTTATTGTACAAAGTAATGTTCAAAATGTAATTTTCCAAAATGTCTATCCCAAAACTTCAATTTCTACAATGTATGCCCTCCAAGAGCTCTCAATCTATATCTGCCAGACCTTCAGGCTGTTATCAAATGAACAGTTGTACTGTAGCTTACAATCAAATTCCTATAGATTTAGATTGAATTCAGAAATTATTTCAAATAAAGAAATAATAATAATAATAATAATTATTATTATTATTAACACGTGGCTTAATTCAATTATAAGGATTTTTTTCACACAAGGCTTCATAAAGCCATTCCATTTTTGACTTGACAAACTTTTCTTTCCTAGTTGTTTTTGTTGTATCTGGCTTTTTACTTTATTAATTCCCATTATTTTTCCAGGTCTGGGAAACTTACAAGTGCACAAAGCTCCAAAGCTTTATACTGTCCTTTCATGTAAAGAGATTTACTTGAGAACCAAACATTTAAATGGAGCTCGATGTGCGATCAAGGAGGGTGTGTGTCCTGACCTGAGCCACATTGAGCGTGGTGGACACTTTCTCCATCTTGGCCTCCACGGTCCGGAAGCTGAATGCTCTCTCTAGCACAGACTGCTCAATGCCCAGCAGCTCACACATCTCTTTCAGGTCTGGGACAGGAAATGCAAAACAAACCCAGGCAGATCAGATTAAAGAATTATTTATGGATAGACTAGACAACGTGTTATGTAATTTAAACAAATTTTCCAATTGCCAAAGATAAACAAGAACCCTCCGATGACTCTTATGACTATTAAAAAAACCCTCTATAAAAACATATTTAGTGTCTTCAAATTTAAAAACAACAATCATTCTGATCAAAGGCCTGTCTCCTAGAATCTAGAAGTCAAGGTTAAGACTGATACATGTTAAGCCCCTTTCAAGGAGTTCAAGGTATTCAAGGAGTTTAAGCTGAAGGGTATTTTAAAAGTGCTTCTCTCCAGGGGGTTTGAGAGGATCTGGACATCAGGTATACATCCCCCTCATCCTACACCAGCTTAATCGGTCTCATTTCAGCCCATATCTATCAGATCAAAAGGGCAGAGGAAAGCACATTATTGCTGATGGGTTTAAGCACAGCAGACAAACCAGACGCTGTAGTATGTATAAATGGAGGTGTTGACATGGACTGTGATGTTTAGTCTGGGCCAACCACTGCCCTGGCTATAGGAAACTAACAGAACGACCAGTAACAAACAACGCTCACTTTTGCAGTGAATATATTTTTGTAGTTGACATAACATGTTGACTAATATTTTTATTTAACGTTACAATTTTAGGTCAAACTTTTTGGTTTCCCCAAGTCAATTATTTGGTCTTTTTTTCTAAAGTATTTAATGCATATTTAAAACTTCATAGATGTCACGGTTTTAGATTATTATTATTTTATTTTTTTGTGATAATTTTAAGAAACTGGTTCCAAGTCATTTTAGAGGCATATTTAATTGAACTGTACGTATAAGGGAAAGTGAATATTTTAGACCTGTAAAAGTTTTAGCATTATTTTGAATGACCTTTTTGCTTTTATTTGTTCATCTTGTGGTAAACTGAATGGCTAATAATTATAAGATGATTTGAAAATAGTTTAAATAGTTTTAGATTAATTCCAGCACGTAACAGGACACTTGTCACTGCATAAAATATTATATCCTTGACCTGTTAGTCAAGGATGCATTTAGCTGTCTTTATAAAAACATACAGATTTTTTATCATTAGCTTATGCATGCATGGTACAGGATGCAAGGGTTATCTGGGTAAGCACCAGTGTGGTGTTGATTGACAGTGTACCAACTGCAACTGCAAGCTAATACTATAAATAACTCTTGATATATCAATAGATGGCAGTAGTGACCAACCTGGTGAGCAGATGAAGGCACTGTTACATACAAGACCACAGTACATGTTGTTTTACAATTATTATTAATTAGATTTTCCATGCTAGCAAATGTTTATATCATTATACCCAATACTGATTGTGATGTCTGATCATTCACACTTGAAAGTTTTTTTGGAAAGTGTACTTTCTTTTACAAACCAGCTGTTTGAAAAAAAAGTAATGTACGTTTTTTGGATAGGCAATGCTTTCTGAAAGAGCCTAGCACTCACCGTTCTTGTCCTTGACTCGACTCTCATCGTAGCCGTTGCAACGAGACTCTGGTTTAAACTCGATATTTCCCAGTTTGAGAACAGCAGCCACCAGCTCCAGTATTGACTGAACCTCGGAGGACAATGACACAATTCAATCATACATATGGGAAATGTTCTTAACTCAAAACACATCTTTTATTTCTTTATTTTTATATCTTTATTTTGATCTTGGAGTAAAATATGACCAGAGATTCAACTTAAAGGGGTCATATGATGCGATTTAAATTTTTCCTTTCTCTTTGGAGTGTTACAAGCTCTTGGTGCATAAAGAAGATCTGTAAAGTTGCAAAGACTAAAGTCTCAAATCCAAAGAGATATTCTTTATAAAAGTTAAGAGTCAGCCACACCTACCTAAAATGGCTCGTTCTAACACGCCCCCACATCAACGCGTAAAAAGACAGTATAAGTCATTATAATCCGTAATTATGTCCCCAATTGATGCACAAATGCCTCATTTATAAATGGGTTTTTTAATGTTTTTGTCTCATCGCTCCGGCCGGGACAAGGCATCACAATATGGCAAGGGGCGTAACATTTTCGTCACACGCTTGAGGTATTCGGCCAATCACAACGCACTGGATAGCTGGCCAATCAGAGCACACCTTGCTTTTCAGACAGATGAGCTTTGTAAAAATTGACGCGTTTCAGAAAGGCGGGGCATAGAGGAGAAACAATAATGTACAGTATGTGGAAAATAATGTGTTTTTTGAACCTTAAACTGCATAAACACATTTCATTACACCAAATACACAAAATAATGTTCTTTTTAACAACATCATATGACCCCTTTAAAAGGATAGTTGTTCCAAAAACGAACATTTTAATTTACTCACCCCCATCTTGTTCCAACCCTATATGAATTTCTTTGTTCTGTTGAACACAAAATATGATATTCTGAAAAATGTTGGTAACCAAACACTTGCTTGACTTCCATAGTACTTTTTTCATACTATTAGTCAATGGTTACCAGCAACTGCTTGGTTACCTGCATTCTTCAAAATTTCTTCTTTCGTGTTCAACAGCTGAAATAAACTTGTAGTTTGGAAGTTGAGGGTGAGCAAATGATGACAGAATTTTCATTTTTGGGTGAATTATCACTTTAATATTGTTAATTTATGAATGTACAGGGAAATAAGTAACGCGTCTTCTAAATTTTACAGTAGTTTTAGCCAATAGAATCATCAGCAGCTTATGATTTTTCATGTCGCCTGTTCTTCTACAATAGCTTGTGTTAATATTTGTTCTTGTGAAGCCATAAATTACATTTGAAATGTCATGGAATCGCTGATAATAAATGTGCAAGCAGTTAATTGGCAAAGCAATGGTCTAAAGGCCAGAGATAACGGAGCGTGAGCTGTAAAGGGCTGAAATGTGATGCGGATCAAAATGAATGACAAACCAATAACTTCCTTTATCTCTCAATAAATGGTAACACAATTGTATCCTTCCAGAGTGGAAAAACTCTTCAATAATTTTTTTTCCCCATGTTAACAAGACAAGCATGTTGTGTCTCCAAGAATGAACGTTCTGCTGAGTTTTGTATATTATTAACAGTCTAGCATAAATAGCAACCATCCTCCCTCGTGGAAGTGTTTACTGTCCCCTACACACAGAGCCTTATTTCTGCTTAACCTCATAAACTACAACTGCCTACACTGCAAAAAAAAGGCATGTTTCTAATTAATTAGATTTGACTCCCCAGGCAAGGGGTTGAAAGATAAAGCCAGAGGCCCAGCACATGCTGAGTTATTGTGTTCTGATGCCAGAATGGAGCTTGGCTTAGGCCTATTGTTCATCAGAACTGCACTGTATTGTCTGATACGGTGCTGAATTCTGTTCAGTTTAATGTGGGCTGCATTGTTTGCTTGGACACAGACACAGACATTCGGGTCTCCACAATAAGGATGGCCCAGTGGCCCGGGCTCACCAAAAAAGGTTCGGGCCAGTTGATGGAAAAGTCACTTGTCTTAATGGGCCAGAGAATAAACAAAAGCAGCAACACTGTCAAAAAATGTAATATTCAAGCACATTATGCATTGCTTCCTGTGTTATCTCAGTGTAAATACACTACATTTCAAAGTTGCATTAAATTGATCAAAAGTGGCAGACAAGACTTAATTCAAATAAATACTGTTTTTTTATATATTCATCAAAGAACCCCCACCCCCCCAAAAAAAGTATCACAGCTTCCACAAAAATACGAAGCAGCGCAACTATTTTCAACATTGATATAATAAAAAATGTTTTTGAGCTCCAATCAGCATATTAGAATGATTTCTGAAGGATCATGTGACACTGAACACTGGAGTAATGATGCTGAAAATTCAGCTTTGATCACAGCAATAAATTATATTTTAAAGTATATTAAAATAGAAAACCATTATTTTAAATGGTAATAATATTTTACAATATTACTGTTATACACACACACACTTTATGTTTATGATCATTAATGTTTTCATCATTCAATTTTGAGCAGTTTCATCTTCAATACATTCCAGACGCTTCTAAACAGCAGAGAGGATAATATACAGCGATGTATCAGGGTCCTGATCACCTTGTTTATTTTACAACAATGACCAACTAACTTTACCCTTAAATTTATCCTTTACATAATTTACAGCTATTATTGCAAATTATAAACCCTTATAATAGCTAACTTCTGCCATGTCATTTGTCATGAAATTGTCTAGTATTTTTTTTAATGTTAGTGAAACATTTTCACTGTAGGTCAGAAGCAAAATATATGTTTAAAATAATAATATTGTTATATATATATAATTTTTTTTTATTTTTTTATTATTATTTTTTTTTTTTAAGTGAACAAGTCAGGCAAGTGTCTAAAGGAAGCAAAACTACTGGCTCAACCAGGCCAGCAGAAAATAATCCTCACTGTTAAACCCTGCAACGTCCATCCTCTGCATGACACATTTTCACAACAATAAGGGTGCATGAGAGAAACAGAAGCACCGATTTTATTTAAGTCAGCGGTGAGCAGGTGGAATTCCCCCTTAAATGAACTTCCCTGTCTTCAAGTAGAGGCTTGAACAAATCTCAAATTACATAATGACACAAGGCAAAGTGTCATGCTCAGAACAAACTCCACCTTTGAGGGGTAAAGGATGATCTTATCCAGTTAAGCCGGGGAGATAAGGTGCTTTGTTAGCTTCTCATCATACAGGGTGCCAAAGATCTGAGCTAATCCCAAGACAGTCTGAACCAGTGACTCACATGCTATAATGTGTCAGGAACCAGCTACTGTATGTACAGTATGGTAGGCCTGAAAGCAAACTTACTCTGACTGTTCTGAAACTGGCAGCATCGTCCAGTCCATTGACTGTTGCCGAATCCAGGCTAAGGTAGTTGTATTTACTGAAGTCTCGGTCCAGCTTCAGTTTTTCTGAAAGAAAAATACAATTACATTGTTAAAATCAATTCACTTGACAACCATCTTTGAGGAAATTTCTCTCATTCTCCCAAGAGTGGTCACTCTTTGTACTTTCTCTTTATCCCAGGGGTGTCCCATCTTGTTCCTGGAGGGACACCATCGTGCAGAATTTCCAACACATTTGCCTAGAAGTTTCTAGTAAGCCTGAAGATCTTGATTAGCTGGTTCAGGTGTGTTTAATTAGGGTTGGAGCTAAACTCTGCAGGACGGTGGCTCTCCAGGAGCAGTATAGGACACCCCTGCTTTATACTGTGTTCGCCTAGATGTATCAGCCATTCCATATGACCCAGTTGCCATCAGATTATGTTACATCTATGTGGTATTCTGCTCAGTTCACCCCTTTGATGCCTGAAATCAAAGCCTTTTATTGTGTTCTCTTTCATTTAAAATGTCAAACAATGACCATGGTCCAACAGAATGCAAATAAACCACGAATGAACCATACATTCTGTTTCCAGAGTCTTTAACTCAGGTAACTTTGAGTGCAATCCAATAATCTTTTCCTCATTATGCTCTGAAAGCCACTGAATGGACTGTGCATCCCGAAAGCACAAGCAATCATAACAAATATGTAGTTTGTCTCTTACTGAGCGTGTCATCTGATGCTCCAGAAAGCAGCTGGTAGAAGATGTGGAAATTCCTCTCACCCCTGGGCTGCTTTACCACACGGGATTTCTCCAAGAGATCTGCAAAAGGGAAATATCAAAGCACAAAGCATTTAATGAGCATACACAGCTGACTCCGCTTAAACAGATAGCTGCAGAAGGGTTTTCTGAAGGAAAAAATATATAATTCTCCACAAAGAGAGTTTTAGCGATAATGTTTAAACATAAAAGACAAGCCTAACATGAGGTATAAGGCTGTCAAGCAATGATATTTACTTCTGAAAAAGTCACAAGTCAATTGTCGCTTTTCCACTACGTGGTACAACTCGGCTCGCTTTGCTTTTCCACTGCAGTTTAGTACCACTTCCGAGTGGGTGGGATTATATAGACTGTTTGTTATTGTTGCTCCGCCACCTAGTCTACTGACCAAAACACAGCCATGTCTTTTTTTCAAGTTGTGTGAGATGGTCGTTTAAAGGAAGTTGTTTAAAAACTAATGCGAACAAATGGTACTGCGGTGGATGTTGCTGGCTATTTAAATCTAGTGTGTTTGGTGTCTCTTGTCACAAATCCAATGACGCAGGTAGTGACGATTCTTTCTGACCAATCAGTGATCTGCAGTGTTCACACGTCACATTTTAGTATCAGTACGGCTCGCTTGGAACCTCAACCGAGGTGGTACTAAAAAAAAAAAGTACCAGGTTCTAAGTACTGTAGTATAAACAGTGGAAACCCCCACCCCACAAAATGAGCTGTACCGAGCCGTACCATGAAGTGGAAAAGCTCCTAATGTGTTTTCAACTTCATACATAAATAAATGTTAATTTCAGCAATCCCAGTGAAGAATTACACACAGATGAAACTGGCTAAAGACGATTCTCTCCTACTATGTACTAAGCAGAACCATTTCAGAGAAAATCAAAGGTGTTTTCCGGTTTATATTAGAATGAATATTTAGATATCCATGGTGACGTTTTCATTGTTCACTGTATTCAGATTGAGACAGGAAGTCTCACAGGAGATATTCATCTATGGGGAGAGGAACCTGTCACACCACCCACGCTCCATCCAGATGTGTGCCCATTAGAAAAAAGCAGCATCAGCCCAAAGCCTTGATTACCTTATCATCAACAACATTTATTAGCTTGATATGAGATAAGACATGGAGGATTGTTAGTATGAGCAACTACAAAAATTATGCAGGAGTATTATCTATGAACTACTGATAATTCTGATAATGCTTGACAAAGTACCAATCAAACCTTCTTTGACATTTCATACTCATTGACAGCTGCACTGGGACAAGAATAAATAATTTTGTAGTAACATAAAATTTAGCATGCATCGTAATTATTGTGATGACCTTAATATGCTATTTATTTGGCCAATAAACTTTAAAAAATTTGTTTACAACAATGTAAAAGTCGATACTGTCACTTTAGATCAATTGAATGCATATTTTCTGAATAAAAGTATTAATTCCTTTAGTAATAATAATAATAATAAAACCCTAAACTTTTGAATGGTAGTGCATGTATGGAGGTAAATATTGCGGTTTATTACTGTGCATTATTATTTATTACTGGTATATTGGCTCATTTAAATGAAAATGATTCAGTGGTCAACCTTTTGAATTATTCAACCATATTAATATTCAACATATGCATCAAATTTACAATTTGATAATTTACAATTTATCATCAAACAAGTTCTTTACTGCAGGAAACTAAATGTCCATGGTTCTTCAAATATTTGGTTAATAGTAAAAGCAAGATGGCAATAAGCAGTTGTCACTTCCTGTTATATCTGATGCCTGTCATAACAGTGGCGTAGTGGCTGTGGGCCACAAGCTCATCAATAGTTTATAGCCCCATTAAAGATCCCCTGTTGTGGAATCTACCTCAATAGTAACCAAACACTAAAGAGTATCCTTTGTCTCCCCCATCCTCTCCTTTAACTTCCAGAGATAAATCATGCTGTCTGGTGTAAGAGTAGCGTCTGAGGCAGGATGAGTCTGAGGAATGCAGGAAAACTGAGGGGACTCCACGCTGACCTTCCACCTTTAGTACATCCGCCGACATTTGTTATTGCTTTAACACAGTTCCAGTAATGGCCTGTAACTTCTGTCCTCCACTCAAAAATCAGAAGCCTTCCATCTTCCTTCTCTGCATTGCTTTGTATTGACCTGTTCAGTCAAGCCTGAGTTCTACTCCAAAACCTAGCAACCTTGCTGTGAACTGCCTGCTTGCATATCTTGCATATAAACGTAGCACAGAATAATTGATCAGAATGTGCCATTATAGGCGGATTTTCTCCCATACATTGTTACAAATATAAACACTCAGTATGTTTGTTATTAAAATATTGAATTAATGATATTAAAATAAGTATTCTCCAACTGGTCCACTGTTTGGTCCGTTGTTTTTAAACCAACATCGCTGTGTGGCAAAACTGCTTATAATGCATACTGTCATAATGTATTCAATTTGCAAATTTCTATGGCCTTTGGGTTATCAAAACTTTGCTAAAAACCTGTTGCACACAATCTGCTACATGCTTTTTGTCATTATTATTGATACTTTTTTTTATCAAGTAAAAGGTCTCTTAGTAGAATTGTAAAAAGAAAAAACCTTCAGGTCGTGGTTCACGTGTCTTTTTGCGGTTTACCCTTTACTGATTGTTATAAAGTAAACTTAAAAACAACTTTTATATCATTAGGAATATAAACATTTACATTTAATATAAACGCAACATTTGCTGGACATTTTTGCAAGTAGTGATTTACATTACAAGCTATCAGACTTTCATACTTTTTGACTATATAAATATCAAAAACTGCACCAAATTGCATATTTTTGCTCAGTTCGGGCCTCCCGATAAACTGAGGTGTTTTTTCTTCAAGTATGCACTCCATATTCTCACTATATCATACCATATGAGCCATAAAGGTGTTAGACTTATTTCATATGTCAGGCTTTACAGGGTTAACTTGATATGGTGTCTTAAAAACAGTAAGATACTCTGTAACAGCTAAACATCTGTCTAGCACATGACAACATTTATCCTGCTTCGTCTGCCATCCCGAATGTCTTTTTTCAACTCAGCTTGTGCAGTCCATTGTGGGATTGCCTTTTTCTGCACAGGATACATGTAATGTTAGAATTAGGCTAAACTGAAATCTCTCAGCATAAAGTTTCTACCTATAATGAGCAACGACCTTCATGTTGGGAGCATGCCTATGATGCCTTAAAATACTGCCTGTTTAGGTGTATGAAGTCTGTTTGTTCAAATCATCTAAAAACAGCTTCTAGTGGGTAAAATGATGCTGTTTTAGATGACTCTAAGATCGTTTCTTTGGAGGAAAGCCCTCAAGCTTCAGAGCCGTCTGTAGCATCTTGTTATAGCCTGTCTGTGGTCATGCAACTTGGTTGTTTTGAAGCACTCACAATAGATTCTATTGTGCAGACTACATGAAGCTATTTAAGTTTAAATCTAACTAAATTAGACTGAATTTAGACAGCAGAGGCCAACTGCACCAGCTGTGCATAAGTTACAACTTAGCCCAGTTTTGACAAAGGAGCAGAAAGTTACAACTTACGCACTACTAAATACTTTGGTGTTGCACCATTAAACTGAAAACGTAACTCTACTTATTGACAAAATATTTATAGAAGTTTCGACCAGGAGTATTGGTTGGAATAAAATAGCATATTGGCTCAATTGCATCAATTAGCACTCCTGTTTTACCTGACATAATTCAGTCCTTTAGACATATTTCATATGCTCAGGACATTATGTGGATAAATTATTTTGTTAGCATCATTTCAACACGAATTCGACTTAAACAATGCACCTTTCTGTGCATCGGTCAGCCCTGTACATGTCAAATATAATAAATTATAACAAATAAATGTCCTTTCTTTTTTTTCTTTTTGGTGCAACAGTGCAACTGAATAACATACAGAGTTACAAAATACTTTACGTTCCAATAATGTTAGAAATTACGAACGGTCAGTGCAACTCTACCCAGGACTTCAGTAAAAACTGTGGGGGAATTATTTTAATTGTGGGATTGTTTAAAGCTCTTCCAATCAAGCATTGAAAAAGAGAGTAATATTTTGCACCCACTTCCGGTGTCTTTCACTGTATATGTTGGTGGAGTCAAAATAAGATATAACTTGAAACAGGCGAAGGTCTTGCTATCATTAAGGAAACTCAATGTGTTCATATACCCTAACAGAGGCGTTTATAGATCTGGGCTGAAGGTGTAACTGTTGAGTGGAGTAATTCAGTGCTGCTCCAAATATCAGCACAAAAGAAATGTCATTAGATTGTTAGTTAGGTCTAGTGACTCCCCTGTATGTGATGGAGTGACGTAGATAAATCACATCAGCATCATTAATAGTGGGAGATCGATCGATTCTCTCATGTGGATGGTGGCACACTATCTGATCGACTCAAACTGCTGTACTATATAGGTTACAAACTCTCCTCAAATCAGTGAGCTAATGGACAAACTGTGCCAACTGTTACAAACTTAGGCTGATGAATTATCTCTCAATGCCAAGTGGTAGCACTTTCGTTTCCATTTAAAGACTTTAAGGTCACTTGTCATAGTGGCACAATCCCATTTTTGACCAGATAAATGTATCTACGGTTTAGAAATCGACTGTGATGTATCAGAGAATGTGTATGTTTTAGGTCACCACTCATTGTTTCGACTAGCCATTGATTCAACACTATATATTAACCACATACATGAGGAAACATTTAGCTAAATGGACCACTGGCTTCAACAGTCAAGAGTATTTGTGCCAAGCCAACTAGACTGCTGGACTGGTTTTGAATTTGCAAAGAGAACGGCTCAAGGGCATATTACAGGAACCATTGCTATAGTTTTATGAAGTAAGGACACGCTCCGGATGGTTTGTATGTATATAAATGCAACACAGTTTCCAAAAGCCCTCTCTGAGAGCACACAGCTGGGAGCAAGAGTAAAGACACAGCCAGCTGTACAAAATTATAAACAAAACAAAAAAAAATTGGTACACAGTAAAAAGAAATAGTTGCCCAAAATGAAGCTTCTATCATCATTTATTCTCCATTGCATGTTGTCTTTGCACTCATATGACTTTTCTTCCAGAAAACACAAAAGGGGAAATTCTAAAGAATGGTAATGCAGTTCTTTTCCATAAATTGACAGTTCATGGTAATCACAGCAGCTATTAAATAAGTATAAAAGTTGTGCGCTATGTTCTGAATACATATACACTAATATTCTAAAGTTTAGGGACAGGTTTTTATTTTTTTTATTTTTATTTTTTTTAAAGAAGTCTCTTGCATTTATTCGATCAAAAATACAGCAAAACAACATTATTGTGAAATAATATTACAAACTGAAATAACCGTTTTCCTTTTTTAATATATTTATAATGTAATTTATTTGCAAAGCTGAATTTTCAGCATCATTACTCCAGTGTCACATGATCCTTCAGAAATCAGTCTAATATGCTGATTTGCTGCTCAAGAAACATTTATTATTATTAGCAATTTTGAAAACAATTTCATATCTTGGTGGAAACGGTGACACCTTTTTTTAGGATTATGTCATAGTAGATAGAAAAAAATACATTATCATTGGTTGGAATAAAATAGCATATTGGCTCAATTGCATCAATTAGCACTCCTGTTTTACCTGACATAATTCAGTCCTTTAGACATATTTCATATGCTCAGGACATTATGTGAATAAATTATTTTGTTAGCATCATTTCAACACGAATTCGACTTAAACAATGCGCCTTTCTGTGCATCGGTCAGCCCTGTACATGTCAAATATAATAAATTATAACAAATAAATGTCCTTTCTTTTTTTTCTTTTTGGTGCAACAGTGCAACTGAATAACATACAGAGTTACAAAATACTTTACGTTCCAATAATGTTAGAAATTACGAACGGTCAGTGCAACTCTACCCAGGACTTCAGTAAAAACTGTGGGGGAATTATTTTAATTGTGGGATTGTTTAAAGCTCTTCCAATCAAGCATTGAAAAAGAGAGTAATATTTTGCACCCACTTCCGGTGTCTTTCACTGTATATGTTGGTGGAGTCAAAATAAGATATAACTTGAAACAGGCGAAGGTCTTGCTATCATTAAGGAAACTCAATGTGTTCATATACCCTAACAGAGGCGTTTATAGATCTGGGCTGAAGGTGTAACTGTTGAGTGGAGTAATTCAGTGCTGCTCCAAATATCAGCACAAAAGAAATGTCATTAGATTGTTAGTTAGGTCTAGTGACTCCCCTGTATGTGATGGAGTGACGTAGATAAATCACATCAGCATCATTAATAGTGGGAGATCGATCGATTCTCTCATGTGGATGGTGGCACACTATCTGATCGACTCAAACTGCTGTACTATATAGGTTACAAACTCTCCTCAAATCAGTGAGCTAATGGACAAACTGTGCCAACTGTTACAAACTTAGGCTGATGAATTATCTCTCAATGCCAAGTGGTAGCACTTTCGTTTCCATTTAAAGACTTTAAGGTCACTTGTCATAGTGGCACAATCCCATTTTTGACCAGATAAATGTATCTACGGTTTAGAAATCGACTGTGATGTATCAGAGAATGTGTATGTTTTAGGTCACCACTCATTGTTTCGACTAGCCATTGATTCAACACTATATATTAACCACATGCATGAGGAAACATTTAGCTAAATGGACCACTGGCTTCAACAGTCAAGAGTATTTGTGCCAAGCCAACTAGACTGCTGGACTGGTTTTGAATTTGCAAAGAGAACGGCTCAAGGGCATATTACAGGAACCATTGCTATAGTTTTATGAAGTAAGGACACGCTCCGGATGGTTTGTATGTATATAAATGCAACACAGTTTCCAAAAGCCCTCTCTGAGAGCACACAGCTGGGAGCAAGAGTAAAGACACAGCCAGCTGTACAAAATTATAAACAAAACAAAAAAAAATTGGTACACAGTAAAAAGAAATAGTTGCCCAAAATGAAGCTTCTATCATCATTTATTCTCCATTGCATGTTGTCTTTGCACTCATATGACTTTTCTTCCAGAAAACACAAAAGGGGAAATTCTAAAGAATGGTAATGCAGTTCTTTTCCATAAATTGACAGTTCATGGTAATCACAGCAGCTATTAAATAAGTATAAAAGTTGTGCGCTATGTTCTGAATACATATACACTAATATTCTAAAGTTTAGGGACAGGTTTTTATTTTTTTTATTTTTATTTTTTTTAAAGAAGTCTCTTGCATTTATTCGATCAAAAATACAGCAAAACAACATTATTGTGAAATAATATTACAAACTGAAATAACCGTTTTCCTTTTTTAATATATTTATAATGTAATTTATTTGCAAAGCTGAATTTTCAGCATCATTACTCCAGTGTCACATGATCCTTCAGAAATCAGTCTAATATGCTGATTTGCTGCTCAAGAAACATTTATTATTATTAGCAATTTTGAAAACAATTTCATATCTTGGTGGAAACGGTGACACCTTTTTTTAGGATTATGTCATAGTAGATAGAAAAAAATACATTATTTATCTGAAATATATATATTTTTTAACAATTCATTAATTTTTGTCTCTCTTGATCAATTTACTGTGTCCTTGAAGAATAATAGTATATAAAAAAAAATAAAAATACAATCTTACTGACCTAAACCAATTTGAACGGTAGTGTATAACACACAAGTCATTTGGACTACTTTTATAATGGACGTTTTGTACATTTGGGAGCTTGAAAGTCATGGAATGTTGTTGTATGGAAAACAGCTGCATGAACATTTCTCAGACTTTTGCCTTTTGTATTTCAGAATTTCAAAATTAATCAGCATATGGGCTTAAAACGACATGAGGGTGATATGTTCTGAATACATATACACTAATATTCTAAAGTTTAGGGACAGGTTTTTTTTTTTTTAAAAGAAGTCTCTTGCATTTATTCGATCAAAAATACAGCAAAACAACATTATTGTGAAATAATATTACAAATTGAAATAACCGTTTTCCTTTTTTAATATATTTATAAATGTAATTTATTTGCAAAGCTGAATTTTCAGCATCATTACTCCAGTGTCACATGATCCTTCAGAAATCAGTCTAATATGCTGATTTGCTGCTCAAGAAACATTTATTATTATTAGCAATTTTGAAAACAATTTCATATCTTGGTGGAAATGGTGACACCTTTTTTTAGGATTATGTCATAGTAGATAGAAAAAAAACATTATTTATCTGAAATAGATTTTTTTTTTAACAATTCATTAATTATTGTCTCTCTTGATCAATTTACTGTGTCCTTGAAGAATAATAGTATATAAAAAAATTTAAATACAATCTTACTGACCTAAACCAATTTGAACGGTAGTGTATAATGGACGTTTTGTACATTTGGGAGCTTGAAAGTCATGGAATGTTGTTGTATGGAAAACAGCTGCATGAACATTTCTCAGACTTTTGCCTTTTGTATTTCAGAATTTCAAAATTAATCAGCATATGGGCTTAAAACGACATGAGGGTGAGTAAATAATGACAGATTTGGGGTGAACTATTCCTTTATTTCTATTTGGGCACTATTACACAGGGATACTCCTTGGTTTCCACCTTGTAATTATACTCACAATTACTGATGACTCCACCAAGGGGGTCTCCTTTGAAGTCAAACTCGATATCCATGTACTTCCCCTGTAGAAAGAGAAGAAATTGTTGCACATCCCATAAAAAGTGCATGGTGGGTGAGAGTTGATGACATGGTTCTTTATTGCTGTTTAACATGGCCTTCCTGTGCAGTCAAAATAAGATATGACTAAGAAGCTAAGGTCTAAGAACTGAGTCCCTCTCCAATGGTGACATTTCATCAAGGCCTTTGGTACTAATGGCAGGCTTGCTGCGGAGAACCACGTGGCTCTTTAGTGGTTCTTGATGGTAGGAAAAGACACATGACATTGAGGGCAGTGATCACTGCAAATAGGGCTGAAATTTGAGCCTTCCATGAGGCAAATGGGAGAAAGAAAGAAAAAAAAAACAGACTTTCCCTCTAAGTGCAGTCAATTCTCCAAGTGCAGGCCTGTTCATAACACAGGCTGCCAATCATAAATAGATTTGCAATGGAGTAATGGACTACTGTGGGAGAAGAGGCTTCTTTTTTTCTGCCGTAATGGTAAAATTAACTTTTTTTTGTCTTTCTGTCCCTGCACACTATTTGGGATAAGAACAGTAAGCCCAGTGTCTCTGGAGCCAGTTAAATGTTTCCCTCTTTATTTATATCCAACAGCTCTTCAAAAGGAAACTGCCTCAGAGGCTGCTGAATAAACTCCCAGAACGCTAAAATCCTATGCCAACACAGGAAGCAACAGCTGAAAATGTCTTTGAGAAAAGTTATAACAGTAGAGAAGTTGGAAATATATAGGATAAAATGGTGCTTGAGATACAAAACATTATTATGAAATTCAAAATCTCAAGGTGTTAGCATGCTGTCACCTCAGAGATGGTTCTGTTTCAAACCCTGTTGAGCTGGCTTGCTGCCTTCGGTCTATGAGCCCTAACCAAGGTGCTGACTATTGTAGAATTACTGTTTACACCACACAAATGGACACTATTCAAAATTGCTTTCAATAGAGCTTGGTATTAGCATATAGCTAGGCTAATAATGTGATACTTTAATTAGCATAAATAAATGGCAACCTTGTGAAAAATTAATACACTTACACTCTTAAAAATAAAGGTGCTTCAAACGGTTCTTCAAGCGATGCCATAGAAGAACCATTTTTGGTTCCACAAAGAACCATTCAGTCAAAGGTTCTTTAAAGAACCATCTCTTTCTTAACTTTTTATAATCTGAAGAACCTTCTTTCGCTACAAATAACCTTTTGTCAAACAGAAAGGTTCTTCAGATGTTAAAGGTTCTTTATGGAACCATTTAGACAAAAAGGTTCTTCTATGGCATCGTGAAGCACCTTTATTTTTAAGAGTGTAGTTGAACTGAATGTGTACTTGTAGTTCACTTCAAATCTTAAAAGTACATTAAAAAAAACAATACATCAAATCAATTAAATAAAAAATTATTATAGAGAACACTTTCATTTTATTAATACACTTAAGTACTGTATAGGTCTACACTTTGTAATTAATTGTCAAATAAAATTTTTTACTTTACATTTGAAGTAAATTATTATGTTTTAATCATCTTTTCTTGTGCTTTAAAGTACACTTATTTGATATGTTGACTAACATATAATTTAATGTGTAAGTACATATATATTTAAATCCATGACACAAGTTTTCATCGAAATTACATTACATTACAGTCATTGCGGTACACTTTCAGTATTTCAAAGACAACAGAAGTAATTATGAAATTACATATAAAGATGTAAGAAGTCCTACGTAAGAGGGTCAAAAAAGCACTCTTAGAACTAATTGCATTTAATATAAATTTAAACTATAATACATTTTAATTTAAATGCAATTAACAAGCTATTAAGTGTCCGAAAACATTCAAATAATATACTTAAGTGTGAGCTTAATGTGAAGTATATTATTTCCATAAGTGCTATTTATTTTTTTTTATTAAGTATGCTTATTTTTCACAAGGGCACACCAATATCAATGTTTAATGTGTGTGTTTTTGTTTTTACATGTACTTGATGGCATTTTTAATTCTTTATAACCAACATTTCTCTCACATGAGCAACCATCTAAGATCTATAGTTTGCCGTTATGCATTATGGGATTGCCTTTGACACAGAGGATGCAATGCTGCCTTAAATTCCAAAATAAGAAAACTTTGTTTTGAGATGGTCTAAGATGCTTCAAAATGCTACCTATATAGGCTAGGTTTTGAAACCAAGCCACAGAAATAAACGGTTCCTGGCTAAAGTTTGTTATGCAACACTGACGGTCTCATGTGGGTGATGCAAGAGCCAGTAAGAGTGCTCAACAAATGAATTTTTGACCCACGAGCTACTAAAATTTAGATCTGGTAAGTTTCCTGAGGATAAACGTCAACAACAACAACACTGACTCAACGCTGTTCTGTATTCCCTGCTATGTAAACTGAACAGCACCTCTGTTGAACCTCTGAAAACACACGCTGGACAATGCTGTGTGGTCTCTAACAACTGTAAGTACACACTCTATAGCTCAGTATATGTTTACTTTGTGTGGTCACAAGTGTGGACGGACAGATGGACACAAACACACAAACACATTTACATAAAGAGAGATATTTAACTGTGCTAATATCTGGGCTGAATGGCATTGTGGGAGTCAGTCCTCAAGGATGACAGGGAAAAAGAAGAGACTCAAAGGCATCTGGAGGTGGTTGCTAGAGAGGTTATACAGAGTTATGTTTGAACCCTGCTGTATGCACAAACAGCAATCATTCTAGTGTTGCTGTGTCAAGTCCAAAGTATACTTTACAAATTCAGATGGTGCACGTACTATTTTAGTGACGAAATTTGCATGTCATGCACACTGTACGCAGACACGTATGTGTAAAAACCGAAGTATACTTCGGCCTTCAGAATGTGCTCAGTGCCGGTCCATAAAAAGCAAAGCGGGAATGTTGCAGTATCATTTTGCAAAATCAAACTCCCAAGAAAAGCATTGCATCACTTTAGGGGCGGACTGAGAGTAAGCAATAGAATAATTTGCCTGTGTTCACATTACGGATCAAAAGTCCATGTTGATGTATTCTAAAGCAAACACACTCTAGAGGGAAGAGCAGCATCAAAACAGTTGTAAAATACTTTGTTTGGAAAAAGAAAGAGATACTCACAAATCGAGACGAGTTGTCATTCCTCACGGTTTTGGCGTTCCCAAAAGCTGCAGTGGAAAAACATGTTGTGAGTTAGTCATGCCAGATTCATTTAGCACTACATTTCTACTTTGACTGATGTCATCTGGCAGAAAAATGATTCTGAATCCTCTCAGCTACCTTTCATCATATTCATGAAGCATAAAATACTTAGACTGCCTAAGATTATAAATAAAAACAACAACAAGTCCACACATACTTCAGTAATGTATGTCTATTTTAAACATTGATGAGTATTTTAGTTTACTCTGATGGACACTGAATGGAATGTACATCTATAACTAACTTTGCTTTCAAGGTTTACATTTTATCAGTTCATGCATTCCCTGAGAGCTGAACCCATGACCCTGGCATTGCTTGTGCTACATGCTTTACTGTTTGAGCTACAAGATGACACCACAATAAATTAATATTTCAATGTTCTCTCAGATCAAACGAACAATGGCTACATTCAGAATATAGTACAACGTATGTATAGTAAGCAAATGTTGAGTATGCATGGAATATCCAGATAACCTACTACATTTGCAGTATACAAAACAGCACAATGCACAGAATAATGTATCCCACAATGCAACCTTCCATTTCCAATGTGACAAATGAACCACAATTCTCAAATTAAACTTAATTATTACAGTACAATCTCTATTTCCACTCATTATATGAATATATTGAATATGATTTTAATGATGAATTTTGCAGCGATGCAATAAAATAACAATTTTTCGTTACCCAAAGAACCTTTCAGTAAACAGTTCTTAAAATTACTATTTTTTTTCTTAGTGTGAGGATTAAAATCAATATTTTAAAACTTAAAAAAATATATATTTTCCACTATAAAAAACTAAGAACCACAAGGAAATTAGTGAAAGGCTCTTCACAGAACCAACAACACCAATAAAGAAGCTTTATTTAAGTGTAACGTGTCCCTCATTATTGCAACATTAAATACAAATAATTTTCACATTTTCCGTCTGGACACATATATGAGCTACATATACTTAGAGAGTCTATGATAGAGAAACATGCAGCAGGAATGTGCAGGACCCCCGGTGTGGGGCTCATTACTTCCAGCAGCTAAACTCTCACAGATGTGGGACTTCACTCTGCTCTGAGTCCTGCTGCCAAGAAGCACTGGGCATTCCTACTTCATCTCCACCTCATCGCTTATGGGCATTTCCTGTTCATGGCCCCACATAAAAAACACAGCTGTCTGATTGCCAACAGGGACCAAGAAGCTTTTGGCCCTTTAGTTGAAAGTGGGGCAAGATAATGGGAAAATACATATGTTGTAGGTCTCAAATCATCTGCTTCCAAACTTGCCTTCAAGAATCTGAAAAGATCTACCACAAAGTTTCCTATTAACAGACCTGCTGGTACATTCAAGAACATATGATGTATGTTTTAAGGCAAGCCAAGGGATCTGAGTGTTTTAAAGGTGTGAAATGACACATAGACAAGGCAATTTGTACAAAAACAGAAAATGTGGGAGACTCACCCTCAAGCACGGGATTGGACTGAAGCAGCTGCTCCTTCACTTTGTTCACCTCCTGGCCCTTCCCACACACTGCCGCTACATATGACATCACAAACTTACTGGCCTCTGAAAATCAGACCGCAGAAGAATGAGGTCAGGGGTCATCTTCTAGATGAGACCTCACCCCAAAAATTCCCTTTACATCAACTATGAGATCAGCTGTTTAAAGTCTTCAACATCCCATTGAGCTGATAATTAATCATGAAGAGATGACAGAACAACTCAAATAGAGGGGAAAGCATGTGAATCAGTGTCCAATTTGGCTAATATAACTTAATATAAAATAAATAATTTGTATAGTATAGTATATATATATATATATATATATATATATATATATATATATATACACTGTATATATATATATATATATATATATATATATAAAATAAAAAAAACTGTGTTTTACTTTTTACATGGCATGATTTTAATCTACTTGGCACTAATGGCTGTGTAAGATTTTTCTTGTTCGACGCTTAATGACTTTTCCATGTCTGGACCTGAGAGCAGTGACTTGTGCACAGAAGTGCTGACATGAAATGTTTTCTGAAGGCAAGGACGCCCACTTATGTTTTAGAGATTTACGGCTATTTTTGGACTCTGCTCAATTCACAGGACTTAACGTATGAAACATTTTGATCAAACCTAATACATGAAGAGATGGCAGTGCGATAATCAAGCGAATAGAAAATGATGCTATAACTCCTCATTACATATAGCTTTAAGCACAGGACCTGAACACTAAATAAAATAGCCTAATTTCATTTATTTCTGAGCTGGGGTACATTTTCATTAGTACAGAAAAGCATTTTGAAATTAACAGAGTAACCTTGACTAACAGTAACTCATGATTTTCATCAGCCCTTGCTCTGTACTCTGTAGTGTGTGGATTACCACAATCCCCATTTATCTCATTGCCTTGACTGTTGGATGTCCTAGATTTGAACGGTTGGCACAGTAAGATGACCATTTTAAACCAAGAGAAGTCCAGTTTTGTACAGAGGAGAACTGGCCCCCGGACTGAGCCTGGTTTCTCTCAAGGTTTTTTTCTCCATTCTGTGACCGATGGAGTTTTGGTTCCTTGCCACTCTCGCCTCTGGCTTGCTTAGTTGGGGACACTTAATATCCAGCGATATGATCGACTTGATTGCACAGATACTATTTAAACTGAACTGAGCTGGATGATGACAGCACTGAATTCAATGATGAACTGCCTTTAACTGAAAATTTAATGTTTACTATTGTCTTTTTACATTATTGATTAATGCCGTACAGTTGCTTTGACACAATCTGTATTGTTAAAAGCGCTATATTATAAATAAAGGTGACTTAACTTGACTACTGCTAAATGGCTGTGGTTAATCTTCAGCATTCATAAAGTAATAAAATATCTTCTTCTAAAAGAACATGACAGAGTTGATCTGACATGAAGAGAACTCAAACAAATGTTTAGTCAGAATCACAATACTATACCTGCGTGTTAGATAAATGCTTACAATTCAAAAACTAAAATAAAAATGTGTATACTATTTACTTTTCCCATTTTAAAATACTTCTTAAAATCATTCATAAAGACTGATAGGCAGGCACAACTTAATTACACAAAGTTTCTAATCAATTAGCAATTTGCTATTCAGAACACAAAGTGCTCTATGTGATATCTCAAAATGGAGAATATGAGATTGTATTCATATGAAAACCGAATGAAAATGCTGATACATTTATGATTGGCTCATAAATTATCAGAAACACGGCACCTGTTCACCATTTGTAGATTTTGATCTGATTCCCAACACCAGATGAACCGTTTGACACATGAAGAATCGAAATGCAATTTTTGAAAAAGCTCCAACACAGATGGACAGCACACTTCAAAGAGGTATGTTAGCCCGCAAAACAAATTTAATCTAAATCATTACTTTAGATTGCAGATTAATCCAACTTGCATAACCATACCAATGTCAATCTATTCAGAATCTATGACATATGTCTGCTTATACCACGAAGAAAATGCATTGGAACTACTGTAAAATGTAATTGGAGTAAGTTCCATCAGAGTGCATAATTGGTGAAGCATCCATTGACAGCATTGTTAAAGAGATCAATTGGAAGAATGAGTGGATTAAATTAATGAGTGCAAGGGAATTAGAAATAACAGTTACAAAATCCTACAAACTGTTCAAACCATCAAGAAAGCAGCTAGTGTCACAATTATGAAAAAAATATAAAATTTGAAGAATCACTAATGTTAATTAGTTCCTGATTAGCTTGACTCGTGTTTAAGCATTTTAAGTGGTCTTACCCGTCTTTCCTGCTCCGCTCTCTCCAGTGATGAGAATGCACTGGTCGTTATCTTGTTCCCGCAGGGACCGGTAGGCCTCATCTGCCAGAGCATAACTGAGAAGAAAGAGAGAGCGATAGAGAATATTCAGGCTTTCAAAGATTATTTAACAAAGCAAAGCTTTCGTTTGCAGTTAGGCACCTGTCTGCACTGTTCTGCTGAATCTGTACAAGCGACTTACTTCAACCATCTAGACCCTATTAAAATACTTCATCCTACATTGAGAGCACTTTGCGACATTCTCCGATAAGAGGACAGGCAACGCATGGTTTAGATTTTACATCGGACACCAAGTGGTGACCCAACACAGTACCAAAATTGCTATTCAACTATAAATAAACAGAAATGTCCTTACAATTAAACTTTGGAGTGTATTAATATCGATAATATTACATAAAATTACATTAAATACATGTATAAATATAAATTTCTGCAGGAAATTGCACTGCACAACATTATTAAAACAGACTCTTAAAAAGGCCAGTTTAACTATGCATGAGTATATAGTTAGTTGCATTCTATTTATGCATTTACCATTGTTACTCCCTGCAGTGCACAATGGACCTGTGATCCAATTTTAAGCCACATTCCATCAGAGCATAGTCTGTTGAGTTATGATGGACGCATTGTCGTCGATAGAACTTGAGCAAATTCCTCAGTGTAAACTGTCTAGGACCATTACACTTATGTTGTGATTCTGAACAGCATTCTGAACTGAACAAACAGGAAATATCTTCTGAAAGAAAATAATCCATAATTAGATTCGTTCTCCATAAATTCCAGGGCAGTAAACAATAGAAAAGTGGGTCATTCGATTCTATAACCCGGTGGGCACTGTAACAATGATGTAATTGTAAATGATTCATTTGAGGAAAAAAAAGACAAGAGCAGCAGTCTCCGTTCACATTTGTAGGGCATGAGACATAGTTTGAGTAGATGTTGCTGTAGACACTATACAGACTGACACTCTCCAGAGTGAGTGATCAGCTCTAAATAAATTGGACTACACATTGCCTAAAAACAGTGCTAATTTCAACCCATTTTATTCCACCTCCCAGTTTCCTCACAGTCTGTACTTTTCAACAATTATTACAGAGGAATTTTCCAAAACCACCACTAATAATAGGTCTGATTGTGAGGGAAATGTTGAATGTAGTTCCCCTCCTCTAATATGCATAAAAGTCTGGATTCATCAGGTTCACGGGGAGCTAGTGGTGTGTGTATAGCAAAACAAAAAACTCTAGAACAATGATAAGGTGATCCAAGGTTGAATGGAATTTCTGTTATACTTAATTGATATGTATGTTCTTAATGACCATGACAAAACTGCCATCTCTGATGTGACAAGCATATGCTTGGATGCTTAAGAAAATGTCACTGAAAGGCCCTAAAATGGGTCAAAGGCATGTCAGGACTTTTTCAGCTGACAGAAAATGGTAAATGGCACAAATGAAAGACCATATTACGACACTTTGGCTCCAAAATCTTGCAAGCTGCCTACAAAGAAAGCATTTTAAGGCATTGTAGGCAGTTCCAAAAGTGTGTGGATAATATGTTGCATTCTAAAATCCCAGAAGGCACAACAACAAACTCAATGAAAAATATCCATTTAATATGGTGGAAAAAGTTGGGTCCAATATAAACAATTCAATTCAATAAAAGAACAGGTTAAAAATTGTTTTATCGATTATTATATCCAAGTATTTTTTTGCTTGGAGAGCTGCATTATTTGCTACTTGCGAAATGCTAATGCTAAACTCTTGAAACGAATTGCGAGTCTCCTGTGTGGTTTACATGAATAGGGGTATGTGTATGGCACACAAAGCTACTTATGTAGAGTGTTTCAAATCAGTGACATATAAAGTAAAATGCTTTAATCAACCGCAACAACCAACTGTATCAGACAAATTCCTATTGGTAAAAGCCACATCATGTCACTTCTAATTTGCAAAAACGTTGCACAGAACTCTTAATAGCTGCCTTCACTCCAAATAAATAATATACTCTCATTGAAAATGAATAACTTAACTTTCTTGCTGCAAATTGCAGTTAGACAGCAAAGCAGCTCACTAAGTTTGGGAACAGAGCCTTTATTTAAAAATTATGACGATAATATACTAACCCATAAGTATTAATATTAACACTCCAAACAAAATCTTGAACAGAACAGACTGACGCTCCACAAATTGCACCGAGAATGAAACCCAAAAAATATAGAGTGTATCTGATGGAGGTTTGGGCTCTGGGCGGAGGCCTGGGAGAGACTTGTGAGGAAAAGAGAAGAGTAGGAGAGCCAGAGAGGGCATGCGGCATTACATCAACACGGAAACGTGCACAGCCTAGATAGCAGATGTTTGAGCTTTGTGAGGTGGCAAAACCGCTCAACATGACCCAGACTAAAAGAGAAGCATAATAAAATTATCCAAGCCCTGACAGAGGGCCATGGGAGGGGTTCCATTGAAGGAAAATTGCCAAAGTAGCAATTCTGGACCATCGTGATGCTTCAGGCAGTCCCAGCATGCATTGCAAAACCTTTTTTTGTACTGGCGAAGGATCCACGTAAAAATTAATGGCTTAAATCTGAATATGAATGAACCCTTAGGTCTCCGCAGGCAGTCCATAAAGAGAAACAAAAAAGACACAAGAACTCTCCCAATGACAAAAGGGAGGAGACACGTGTGTGGTATTTGTCCCGATCCAACTTTGAGCTAAAACTGAGCTTTGGTTTGCACTAAAAGGCCAGGGAATCATTAGATGTTCTTTAAACCATCTTCATGTCCCGCCTGGAGCCACACCATGTGCAGAGCGAGAGGAAATTAAGAGTAAAGTGAGAACATCTGCACTATGCAATCGTCACAAGGTTAGGACAGAGGGGTCAGTTTACTAAGTCTACTCTACAAGAGGGAGTCATTTATAATCACAAAGGCCCAATGTGAACATCAACGTAAACAATCCATGAGCTGTTGACCTGAAGAGCCACATCTGTCCAGGAGCTGAATGAGAGCTTCATGATAAATGGAGGAGGGATGTCTTTAAGCACATGGCCTACATGAGACTGAACAGTAATTTCAGCTTGCCTTAAGGTCGCGGTAAGGCCCAAAGCCGCAACATGAGGCACATGAAAGAAAACAGTATGTTCCTACCGTGGACAGTCTTGCTTAAAAGGGAAAACTAATCACAAGGGCAAGAGCACCCCAAATACAGCTGACATCAATGATATTAACGTACAGAGCAGGGGGCAGGACAAAATACACAGTAGCCAAATAATGAATTATGCCTCAGCAGGCTGGACAGCTCTCTACACTGGGATAGGATATCCATAAGCGTTTAAGAATGAGCCACAGTGGAAGTAATGTTTTCCTGCTTGTGGTGGAGTGATCACGCACTCCGCTGGAACAAACAATGGACCACGGAAGCTCCGGAGAAGGAAGGCCAAAAAAATGCACGTGCATTCAACCAGGTGGCCACAAACACCTCAGCTGCTTCTTGCACAATGCTCTTGTTTTATAGACGTTAGTGTGTCTGGTTTTACATGCACATGGAGAAGCTATTGAACAGCCAGCAAGAGTAAACAGTCACCGGATACAATGCTTTTCCATATGGGAGCTGTGAAATAAGACAATGTGATTCCCAATAGATCAATCGCAGTGTTTTTGCCAGTAAACCTTCTACAGTCTAAGCTTGAATTTAAAACAGTAAGAAATATTAGGAGTATGATCAGATGACAATTACTGTCCATTAAAGGGGTCATGAACATGAGAAATTAAAAATCCCTTGACAACATGAGGCACATGAAAGAAAACAGTATGTTCCTACCGTGGACAGTCTTGCTTAAAAGGGAAAACTAATCACAAGGGCAAGAGCACCCAAAATACAGCTGACATCAATGATATTAACGTACAGAGCAGGGGGCAGGACAAAATACACAGTAGCCAAATAATGAATTATGCCTCAGCAGGCTGGACAGCTCTCTACACTGGGATAGGATATCCATAAGCGTTTAAGAATGAGCCACAGTGGAAGTAATGTTTTCCTGCTTGTGGTGGAGTGATCACGCACTCCGCTGGAACAAACAATGGACCACGGAAGCTCCGGAGAAGGAAGGCCAAAAAAATGCACGTGCATTCAACCAGGTGGCCACAAACACCTCAGCTGCTTCTTGCACAATGCTCTTGTTTTATAGACGTTAGTGTGTCTGGTTTTACATGCACATGGAGAAGCTATTGAACAGCCAGCAAGAGTAAACAGTCACCAGATACAATGCTTTTCCATATGGGAGCTGTGAAATAAGACAATGTGATTCCCAATAGATCAATCGCAGTGTTTTTGCCAGTAAACCTTCTACAGTCTAAGCTTGAATTTAAAACAGTAAGAAATATTAGGAGTATGATCAGATAACAATTACTGTCCATTAAAGGGGTCATGAACATGAGAAATTAAAAATCCCTTGATCTTTTGACATATAAGAGGTCATTGTACTATAAGTACAGAACTCAAAACTTTCTTGTTAGTCTAAAAACAGCTTATATTGAAGACAATCTGATAAAACGACTGTGGAATGTGCCACTTTATGACGTAATAGTGTGGCTAAACACCGTCTCTGCAGATGAAGATCAACGCCTGCTTCTACATCACTGCCTGTTTAGCCCTACCCACCGATTTGCACATGTAACTAACTAACTAAGGTCCACACGGAAGCCAAACGATAAAGATGCTCTGAAGACAACAAGACGCTGTGCAGTGGCAAGTTGTGGAAAAACAGTCTTTGCATCGCTTTCCTTCTGATCCCAACATTAGGAAAGAGTGGATTCACTTTTTTTAATGATGAAGTTCCAGACCGCGTCACTACAAACTTGATCCTTCGGTCATTTGATTTTATGGCGGATTCGTTTGCATACAAAGCACAATTTGACGCAGGATTTTCAGAAAGATTGAAACTAAAAGACGTTGCTGTGCCGACTATATTGTGTCCGACAGTAATGTCGCACCACACAAGTGTGAGTAACTGTTTTAATAATGTGGTCACTATTGCTTTGTCTGTTATTACAGATCGTTT